ATCCAGCCCCTTCCCAACCAAGCAAAACACTCCCTGGGATTTCCTTTTCAAGCCTGCTAATTGAAAACATTCTGCAGCTTATTAGTCACTATACAGATTATCTGCTGACATGCAAACTCTCACTCATTCCAGACTTGTTAATTAACACGTAATTACTGATCCCACGGAGGCCGGCCCGCAGGTGCCATGCGCCGCGTCCTGCCCGCGCTAACAACCGCTCCGAGCTCAGCACATGGCTTGCCCTGAACCTGCCCTCCCCAAAGTGCTCAYGCTCTTTTTATTTTTAATGCAGCATCTTTTTTGGGTCTGGGTTCATTATGTCCAACATCCACCCACAACCTATTACAAGAGGGGAAAAAAAAAGGAAAAAAAAAAAAGCAACAAAAATTTGCCCTTTTGAATCAGGCTGGCTCAGCAGGAGCTGGCTGAGGGCAGCAGTTCTGCACGGTGAATTTCAATGGGAAGACCAACAGGAAAAGAAAGGGAAGGAAGGGGAGAGGAACAAGGAGAGACAGGCATGGCCTGCCATTTCTGCGACTTCCTAAATGATGATCTCACCTACTGGGTCATTCAGTACGAGATGATTCTCTGCCAAGTCTTTGATCTGGCATAAATCTTGCCATTAAAATACTACCTTCTATTCAATTATTCTCTCGTGACGCCTCACGTTACCACAGCTATTCCCTCTAAGCATTATTTGGTTAACAGGATGTTCTAAATGAGTTTTTTTCCCCCAAAATGCTCCTTATGCTGGATTTTCTTTAACACTTGAAATGTTTTAAAACAGTATGTGCCTAAGTAAGGGAAAACCTTAACAAACAGTAACAGTATGAGTATAAAGCCATTGCCATGGAAAGTTAGTTCACATTCAAACGCTTCAGTATTCTTTGCTCAGAAGGGTACACCAGTTAGGGGATGTGGTCAAGGCCACAGAGAACTGTATTAAACTTTAAACTGTATTAAATATCTTTCTCAGGGAACTGCATATCCAGAWATAAAACAATCCAGTATGTTACAGGACTGGAATGCTAAAAGCCCTGAGTTGGCACATAAATCTATTCCCATCAAAGTCAGAGGTAAAGCTACCTTCAATGACCCAATGGGAACACACAATATCACATATTTTTGAAAATCTCATCCTACATATACAAGGATTAACTATTTCCATATTCCTACTGAGATGAAATCTTTGATATAATGATGACCAGCAGTCAGGAAAATTACCACTGCAATTTGAATCCTAAGCTGTGTTGCACTGCAGTTTGTTACGAACCCCTGAATAGGAAGATGGTGAAGGAGCTTTCTGTAGTATTTCCACCACGGTATTAGGGGAAGAAAAGGACTAAGTTATTTAATATTTAGCTCAAGAGTTCCAGTTTTGTTTGGTGGTACCTTGATAACAGCAGCACTCCTGACACTGCTGTGAATGACAAACGCATTGGGATGGCACCCACACATCCACCACTAACAGCAACTGCACTGTTGGTTTGTGAGCTTTTTCGGAGGAAATAAAAAAGATCATGCCAGTACAAAATGGTAAAGAGAATCATGAATTAAATTTGAAACAGACTTCTGGAATTAGCTTCTCTATTACATAATAAGAGACATTATTCGGGAAGTGGCTGTACATTTGCATTAGAAGGGAGCAACTCCATGTGGAACAGAGGTGCCGAACCTGCCAGCAGGAAGAGATGGAGACTCCTGTGAGACAGATGATGCTCAAGTTGTCAGRAGTGGGTCAAAACATTAAACTGGAATAAAAGTCATCTTTTCCTTAATCAGGACACAGTAACAGCATTAGAGTTTATGCTTTTATGCAAACGTTAACAATTGTGAAATTGGTATAGAAAGAGTAGCAGCAACATCAGCTTTTCTATACCAGAGCAACCATAGCCTTGTCTTGGATGTGAACATCACAATTAAGTCACTGGTTTCAAAAAAACTGCCTTTAACTCAACAGACAAACACTAACGAATAATACAGGACACTGCTCAGGGACCATATGGCAAGACCTTCTGGGGCTTTGCACATCCTTGGGAAACAGGGTATGGCCAAATATTCACCCACGAGGCTCCACACCACCTGCGTGACCCTCCTCTTGCCGRCTGCTCTCACTGCTCCACATTCACACCCTTTGTTCCAGCATCAAGGATGAGAAAGACCTGTTGACAAATTTGTCTGCAAAGCTCTTGGAATAGGTTTCATGCCCTATACTTCCCACAGTTGAATTCTCTCATATTAGCTCTGCCTGGACATGCGATATACTGCAGGACAGCCCTGCCCTGGGATTTTATGATAAATCCTCCTTTTGCTAATAGTAAGACTCTTTATGCAACTCAGTAACTAAAGCAAATTGAAAGGAAAATTAAAACTCTGAAGATAGGAAACATAAGGCAACATTATTCATGCAGTGATGATAGGCGAGGGAAAAGATTTATAGAATCAACAATTAAGCGTTTAGGGATTTTTAAAGGATTTTAATCAGCTCAACAGTAGTTGGTTCCCATTTACTGCTCCATGATCATCACCTGAAAATACTGCCTATGGAGTAGAAGTCAGGAGCTCTTCGAGATTTAATGATTTTATGAGAATGAAACATTCCATTTCTGACCCTGCTGGCAACACATCAGTTTTCATTGTCTTTAGGTGGCCTGATCCCTCCCTCTCTCTCTCCTAGTGGAATGAGGAAAGACAGCTATGAAAGCCACTCAACTTCAACTTTAGCTTCTGGGGAAAACACTGGTGCTGCCCTTTTGGGCTAAGGAAACATGAATTACCAGAAAGAGTCCCTCTCAGCTGTGCCTAACAAGTAGTTGAAAGGTTTTCCCCACACATGGATGACCTGAGAGAGGGATGCCAAGGCCCCCAAGCACAGGCCTGCACCACCAGCCTCCAGTTTGCTGCTGAGAACACAGCAGAAGGAGGGCAAAAGGCCCTTCTTGCATGAGGTGCAGTCCCTCCTCTCTTCACACTGCTCAGTATTCACAGATGCTGGCCTGAGACTGCTCCTCTKCACCTCTAAGTCCAACACCCATTTCCCATTTTATCTTCAATTGGGCTTCAAAGCCTACCAAAACACATCCATCTGCTTTTTGGAGAGAGCATAAAGAGTTTGGCCCCACCAAACAGAGCTGTATAATGACATTTGCAGCAGACGCTCGTAAAACYGTGTATTTGGAGAATGCCTCACATCCCCATACAGTGCAAGGCTAATATAAAAATATTCCTTGCAAGAAAACAGACGAGGCCAAATAAAAATGCATGCACGTTGTCTTACAAAATATGGACAGAGACGATCCCAAACAAAATATATAGAGGCTTTTGAAGTTCAAGTTATCTTTATAAGTTTAGAAAAAGAAAAAAATAAAAAAAAATAAAACAAGAAAAGGATTGATTAGAAACTCTTCATTGTTCATTAACCTTTCAAGAAGACTGTGTTATATTGGCTATGTACTCTTTTCCCCAAGATAGGATTCACACTGAGGTTGTAACAAAGCTCAGTCACTCAGGTATTTCTGCTTAAGAATTAGTGGAAGCAAATGAAATTTTGAGATAAAGAGCATTTGACAGAGAAAGAGGAGAAGAAAAAAAAAAAMCCTCCTTTACAYAAGCAGGGGCTGTTATCTAGACTACTGCTCAGCAGACAAGGAGGATTGCTTTAACTCACTCGTTTCAGTCTTAATATCTTCGGATCACTACAGCAGCRCAGAAATCTTTCAATATTAAATACATATTCTGACACATTTCAAGACATCTGCCGACTCTATGGGCTCCTTTAACGCACCCCGAGGYGGCGCAGCTCTTTGAAGCAGCGCGGCAGGCAGGCAGGCCTCGTCAGAGAGCCCGCGAACGCGGCGCCCGTAAGGGCCCGCTCAAACCTACATCAAACACAGGCTCAGCGGTTGGACRATTGTATCATTGTCTCACAATTAGATAGTATTAATAAAAATATTCTATGACATTAAAGATCCTACCGTGGTTCGTTTTCTAAACAATGTAGTTCCAGCTCACTTATGGATCTGGATTTCGTATGCCCTTAGTAAATTTTAAGCAGATGGTTGATTCAGAAAAGTTTAATAGAAGGGGAAAAATCTGAACATTACCCTGAATTGCTGGTGTATCAAAAGCATGCTCTAAATTTCACACAGACAGGCAGAAACATAGCAGATGAAATAGAGATGACAGGTGAAAAGTGTGACATCTTTACGTTATCAAGGGAGACAGTCCGACGTGCCCAGGCGATGCTCTGTAAGCAAGCTGGGCTGCATTGAACCCAAACAGCTGCACTGAAATCACCCGAATTCCTGCTTCCTTCCCTTTCAAGCCAAACACCAGCTGAATATATTTTGGAATACTCTGAGATATTGTTGTGAAACAATGCGAGCTCAGAGCACTGTTTCATCTCTACCAGATGAACCCAAGTCAATGTATTGAACACCTCTGTCTTTTTGAAGAATCTGAATAAGACACTACAGAAGCTGAATTTCCACTTTCTGACCTGGATCACATGAATTTCATTCTCTGAAAAGCTCTAACTTGCTTCAGTGCTTTGCTTTGTACATGTACACTGTAAACCACTGTACTTTAATACCCTTCTAGAAGCCCTTTCACTTCAGTATCAGGTGTTTGAAAACAGTCATTTTTCTTTGATTTGTAGCTAATCAATTATGGATTGAATTAATATCTTTAAGATAAATGGAGAATATATTAATGCACTAAATTGTGGAACACATCCTGAAGGTGCAAAGGTAGGTCCATTTTCTGTTTMAAAGAAAAAAGTCCAAACATCTGGCTTTTTTATTTTTAAACAAAGTACATAATTTCAATTCCTACATGTGAACTTAACAAGAATATTTACAAAGAGAACTCAGTATTTAATTAATATATAGTCTTTCAAAAATGCCACAGGAAGCATTCYACTACAAATCCTTCATTTACCAAACTTATAACTTTAATTCATCAGTTCCTTTAAATGCACTAGCAAACACAGAGACACTTACCCACACACACTCTTCATTAGAGGCCCAAGTTCACATTTCCACATCTCAGTTACCCTATGCACACTCTTAGTCCACAGCCAGGCAATACAAACTTCTTAAACTGCAATTTAAGCTAGATTACACGGCTAGGCTTTCATTACTGTACCTCACATGATACACAGTAACTTATTAAGCAGTAATAAACTGATAACAAGCCTGAGATCTAAAGCTGACCAAAAATATYGGCACTTCACTGAAAGGCATGGAGTTACTGCTACTTAAGAAGTTACCATTTCTTCTCAGCTGTGCTGAATGGGTATTTATATTAAGCCTTAGTGCAGGTGATCTACATTGATTTCTTTTACCTTCCAATTAGAGTCATTCCCTGTTCAGCTGTGTTCATCCCATTAAGTTCACCTTGCATTAATTGTCTCAGTACTATTGTCCGTAACAATTAGTACGACTCAGATAAATTTAACTTCCATCTGTAAATATTGAAATATAAATTAAATTAAAGTAACTGGTTTTAAAACAAGACATGAACATGAATCAAAAATATGTATCTATTTAAATATATTTGTTGCCACATCACTTTTACTTAAAACACTGTGAGATAAATGCACAAATCTCTGCAAAAAAAAAAAGTTAGAATATAAATTCTCCTTTTTCCMCAGTCCTCAGTGTTATAAGTATTTTTCAGACAAAGAAACAATAAATTATAAAAGACAATAATAAATTGTATTTTTAAAGATTAACAACCATTAAAATTAAAGAGTCAAAGAACAATTGTTCATGCAATTGTTCATTTCAATTGTATTCAATATACAATATATACAATATATTCAATTATACAATTGTTCGTTTCAATTGCATTATTTTATATAAAATTTTACAGGGCAACCTTCATTACACTAAGACGGGAGATCTTTGAAAGTGAATCATCCACAAAACACTGAATTGCACTTAAGCCCCTCAGGAACAGACTGCTAGTGATTTCCTATAAGGTGACTAAATAATAATGCTCTGATCCACTATTTCTATCATACAAGCAGCAAACCTATCATTTTAAATARGTTACCTGCAAACAAACCAGGAAAGCTACATTTTTTATGAACTCCTCTGCACTTCTGGACCACAGTAGAAAGTGCTTTGGTTCCCTGCCTCCTTGTCTGTGAGTTTTCCTTCTGGAATGAGAACAAATGTAAAGACTAAAAGTAGAGAAACTGCGGACAAATCCCTCACTCTCACCAGAGACGGGAACATCTGTTCTTTTCTATACTGCTTTTATCAGCTGAAGAACTGAAAATGTGAAGAGAATTTAGAACCTAATGAGTTCGTTTTCAGGTAAACTACCAAGATACTGTCAGGGGTACCTGGCAGCATTTGCTAACTTTATGTTGCTATCAGGGCTAGCAGGGGCAGTTCTCCAAGGAAAAGGCTGGAAAGCAAAACATCTCCTATTTATTTAGTATTCACATAAACAGCAATTGATGCTCTATTAATAAAAAGGACCAATGAGAGCTGAATTCATCTAGTAGCATCCAAACACTGTGTAATGATACAAAMTTGATCATCTTGCATATTTAACCAAGTATTATAAACCAACAAATCATTGTAATCTGAAAAACATTGCTTGTTGCTGGATTTGGCTAACTTTCTTACATTAAAAGGAAGATTGACAAAGATCTGCACACAATACAATAAAAAYGTAAGTCTTTTCAAAACCACAGAATCACAGAACAGTTGAGGTTGGAAGAGACCTCTAGAGATCATCTATAGTCCAACCCCCTTGCTCCAGCAGGGACACCCAGAGCACGGGGCACAGGGCGGCATCCAGGTTAGGTTTGGGAGAYCTCCAGAGAAGGAGACTCCACAACTTCTCTGGGCAGCCTGTGCCAGGGCTCTGTCACCCTCACAGTGAAGTTCTTCCTCACATGGAGATGGAACTGCCTGYGTTTCAGCTTGTACCCATTGCCCCTTATCCTACCACTGGCCACCACCAAGAAGAGTTTGGCCCCTTCCTTCCTACATTCTCCACTCAGGTATCTGTACATGTTGATAAGATCCCCTCTCAACCTTCTCTTCTCCAGACTAAACAAGCCCAACTCACTCAGTCTCTCCTCATACAAGAGATGTTCCAGTCCCTTAATCATTTTTTGTTGCCCACCACTGCACCCTCTCTAGAAGCTCCACATCTCTCTTATCCTGGGGAGCCCAGAACTGCCCCCAATACTCCAGGTGCAGCCTCACCAGAGCTGAATAGAGGCAGGATTTAACCAAGTTAATTTGTTGCATCTTTCTCATATCCCTGTAATTCGAGGGCCAATATATGAACTGAAATTGATCTTGGCACCTGGGACTTTGCTATAAATGTTACTCAATCACTACAGATTATAAGAATACTGAGGACTGCAAGAGAAGAAGCCTGACCTTTTCAGACCTCCAGAATCCAGCACAAAATTGCATGATACTACATCTGTATATTATCTAAACCCCTTCTCTATCTTTCCAAGCTCTGTGGACATTTGACTCCACATCAAATAGTAACTCCATGTCACAGTCTGGGTCAAAACTTCACTACTCTCCTAAATTAGAGCCCACAAGGTTAACTCTCCAAATTCTGAGGAACTGTGGAGTCCAGGCTGAACCACAGAGAAATCCATAAAACATAAAAACGGGTTTGTAAAAATGTACTTGGCTGAAATAATGCAGTGTTATTGGTGTTGCTCCATTCAAAAGGTGTTTAGAAGTATATGCCAAGAACCATAGCAAGGAGATGGGAGAGAGTGCATCAGGTTTCTGCTGTGAGAAACATGCATCAGGTTTCTGCTTTGGATCACACAGGCAAAAGGAAAGGCAGTGTGAGCCAAGAGGTGAAGAAAAGGTGAAAAGAGGAGCAATGAAAATCCTCCATATCTTGTGAACATGGCACAGCAGCCCCAGAACACAACCAGGCAGGGCTTGATGCTTTCAACACAGCTGCTGTGGGAAGGATTTGTGCGGGGGAGGCACAGAGCATGTAGCAAAGCAGCTTTTCTCTTGGTACCTGTGCAGTCTGCACCTGTAACGTCACCACCTGGAAGCCTACAAAAATGTTAACTTTAAAAATTATTCAGCAGTTTTTTTCTTAACAATGAGAGTTTGCAAAGTAGGTATGCTAAATTACTGAAGTGTTAAATGTGGTTATATGGCATCAAAAATAAATTCTGWACAGAGTCTGTAGGGGCCTGCAGCGGCACTGGCAGCAGGGAGCCCCTGTGCACCTCCTCGGCTGCAGGAGGAGTCAGGTAGTCAGGGCGCAAGAAAATGAATATTGATCACACTGTGCAACCCTTCCTTGAAGTGATGGCAAGTTAACACACAGGGCCAATCAAGGCTTTCTGTATGCAAAAATAAAATCAAAGCAGGGCCCTTAGGGTATTAAATATAGCTCCAACTCGGAGCCTTCTCAGAAATGCTCCCGTACAACAACATTGATTTATCCTCATACAGAGCGATCTTTGGGCACCTGCCTGTCAAGCCTAACTTTAAACGTGTGTCTCCAGTGTTTTAGTTCAGTCTTTCATTTCTCCTTAAGATGGATCTTACAAGCACCCCATCAATTTGAGACTGGCAGAACAATCCACACTGTCTGGTGCTATTAGAAAACATATTACACAATACTTCTATTAGACCAGGCTATACACTCTGAACGCCTTTGCTGAGCATCTGTGATATCAGAGCTTTGAGGAACACTGGAGTGAAAGATCTATGTGCATTTTCACACACATATACATTCATGAGCTCACATGCATGCACACACTTTGCAACGGCTCACGTATATAGAAGCTCACTGGAGAAATGGAGAGCATGAAACAGTGTTTGATCTGTGAGCCTCTCCAGTAAAACGTTGTGCTACTGGTAATTTCTCTAACAGCAGATCAAGCCAAGGAAAAGTGACTGAAAAAGAAAAGCACAATTACATAAAGTCTGCGATACAGACACAGTGTTTTTCCTCTCGGGAAGCCCTAGCTGAGGCAGCAGCTTCGCTTCCCAAAGGGCTCAGGAGCAGGGAGAAGGGCTGTGCCGGCCGGTGGCACAACCCTGCCGCCCGGCGCGCTGCCGCCTCGCGCTGCAGCCTCCTCCTGCAACTCCTCTCTGCTTCACAGCCCCCATCTCCTGCCCCGTGCCCCGCTGCCTTGGCGATGCATTCGATTCGGCATTTCATCTGCCAGTCTTGCTTTACTCTGATAGGCACTGAACTTCTGCTGCAGCTGCAGTCAAAGTCTCTGGACAATATGCACATATGAGATTGATGATTACAGCTGTAAGAGGAAGGAGGGGAAGGAAGAGAATGGAAATCAATGACTTACTGTACCAAGAAAGAACCAATTGTTCAGCAAATCTGCTTTTGCTAATTCTGTCACACGAGCTCATCTATTAAAGCTCCATCATTATTAGAATTAATTGTTGCTGTCACAGCAATAATATTCACAATCAGCCACTCGCATTCTGCAACTACCTAGCTCATATTAGAACCAATCTAGTAACACCGCTTGCATCTAATGAGCTGGTTTGTACTTTAATTACAGCGCTTGCCAGATAATTTATTAGACAGCAATAAAGTTTAGATTTACTTCTCATGCAATATTGCTGCATTATCAGAAGATGTACACATGAAGGTACATTTTGCTCTCAATTACACGAGTATAAATCTTGAGCCTCTCTACTCAAATCAACCATTATTTCAAATTGACATGTAGCTACTTTGCATTAAGAAATATGTAATAAAGAGCAGAGTTTTGTTTCATATGTGTACATTATTTATAGCACTCCAGGTGGCTACTTTGATAATGATACAGAATATTTTTTTCCTGGCAAAATAAATAGCAATACTGGTACAAAAGAGTTTTTTAAAAGGAAGGACATGAAGTACACATTTATAGGTTGGAGAAGTATTCAGACAATTACACATTTAGAGATGATTAGCTGAAAAGGAAAATTGCTCTCAAACAGGGAGATTACATTCACTTTCAAGACAGCTCAGTGGGATTTTAACAAGCAGAAGCTGTTGTATTAAAATCTGACTTTGACAATAATTAACAAGTAATGATGTCACCATTTGTAAAGGACTGCATTCTCTACATGTAGATAGAAATAAATATAAACAGAATTAAATAGAAAAGGAAAATATAGGAAAATATAAAATTTACTCAGCTACAGTACTATATGGTTTGGTTCTAAGGCTGTGCAGGACTCAAACCCTACCGCTTTCAGTCTGAACTTGGCCAAGCCC